TGTGTGTGTGTGTGTGTGTGTGTGTGTGTGTGTGTGTGTGTGTCCGTACATTTGGAGCATTCCTCTCTTGAGGAACTTTTCAAGACATTTGCTCAAGGATTCCAGGTCAAGTTTGCAACCCCCTTCTCAGACGGACAGATTCCTTTCCTCTCACATAGTACATGTACATTTGTCCTATCCCTATTATCAGGAAAAGACACTACTACAAATAGCATCCCTCACATTCCACAAGTTAATTATATTGATATGGACACCATTTGTACATTTATTTACTTTGAATATCATTTTTCCCTTCTCTTCCTTTTTCCCTTACTCCCCACGTTGAGACGTGCTGGAGCCCATCTCATTCCTATACACATGCTTAAATGTGATACTTTACCCTCCCCAACTACATACTTGAGACCTGTGTAGCTCCAGGGCAGAGGGTGGAGGGCAGAGAGACGGAGGGACAGCAGACATTAAAATAGATAAATGCTCTGTAGTACTGGTGAAACAAGATGTTTTAGTTGGAACAGAAAGTCAGGCTTTGCGTTTAGAGCCTCTCAAAGAAAAGAGTAGACTTATCGCTCCATCTGCAGACTCCTGTGTCGTCTGTGTGTGATGGCGTGTGGGAACGCTGTCATGAGGGTGTGTTACTGACAGCAGCCTCAGGTTATGGCACACCTCATCTCTACCATAACATGCTTGAGAATTTTAACAACATTCTATAACACAAAGACAAACTGTGACGGAGAACATGTTCCTGAGAGCTTGTACAATTGTTTTATTATATTCTTCAGTATGTATTTATAGTTCCTGGTCAGCAGTCTAATTTTGGATGCTCCCTTTTTTTTAACACCCTGATTTAACCCCAATCTCTTGACCTCTTCCCTGACAACATGCTCTCATCAGGGTGAGTGGGTTTAGCCCCAGAAGGGAGCGCTGCCTGAACTTGAGCAGCCTTGACCTGCAAAAGCTGTCAATACACCTCCAGGACACGGACCATGCAGGGGACAGGACAGTGCATGTGTTCTGTGATCCTGTGTGCCTCATGCCCTTATTAGAGAGGTCGTAGTTCAAAGAGCACGGCGTCAAGCATGGACACAAGGCTACATGGTCACAAGATGCATTGTTTCACATAGATGGTAACGGCACAGTGTGTGTGGAGCAGGTAGCGACAGGGGCTTAAGAGGTGCTTTTGCAGATGTGCTCAAACTCCACCCAGTCAAGGTCAATGTCCTGTGTCCGTGCAACAGTTTCCTGTTTGTCACCATGGAGGGCGCACTTAAAAAATATTCATTCTCTTGAAGCTGGACATGTGGCGTGCCAGTAAAGTGGCCATCTGGTGGTGCTCAGGAAGAGGAAAAGCCTCTGTGTTATGGCTAATGGTTGCCTGTGTCTATTTTAAGAGGCTGGGACTTCCTCTTTTGTGATCTTCCAGCAGGTCTAGGAGAACGGTGTTGTCACCGCTTCCTGCCTTCCTGTATTTGTATCCGTCACTGTATCCTATATTTCCCCTGGTGTGGGATGTGACCTCATGATGGGATGCTTCTGACTCTAGCTGTTGCCATGTACAGTTTGAATCCCTGACATACTTTTTTTCCCATCCTGTGCTCAGATTCTTTAAGGAATTGGAGGAAAGACACCATCAGAACATAGTCATTGACGACATCAGCGACATTGTCTGCAGGCACGCTCAGTCCAACTTTGACCCTTACATCACGTACTGCTCCAATGAGGTCTACCAGCAGAGAACCCTGCAGAGGCTCGTGTGAGTGACCGAGGGAACAGTTGTTCTCACCATATCTCGCATGGATTCCATCCAACATGAGCAGGGAGTTTATTCTTCCTCCATTTTTTTCTGAACACCCTGTCTCCCTCTTGCAGGTCCAAGAATCCAGCCTTTAAGGAGGTGCTGACCAGGATCGAGGGCCACCCGGACTGCAGGAACCTCCCCATGATCTCCTTCCTCATCCTGCCCATGCAGAGGATCACTCGCCTGCCCCTGCTCATGGATGTGAGTGCGCTGCAGACGTACAGTAGCACAAGCTTTGGAATTACAAGACTCTGACTCTTGCGTAACAGTTTGTTTATTCATGCTGTCCCAGCTAATTCTACTCAGGGTGTGTGCTAACCTCACAAATGATAGTGTGACCTCATATCATTCCTTAATAATCTAAACTGATCCAATTTATCCTCCTCTTTCTTCCTTTTTAATGTTTTTTCTTCTTCACTTTCATGCATTACTCTGTCCCCACTGTGCCCCCCTCTCTTCCTCTCTCATGCTCAACTTTCATCCTCCTCTCTCCAGTCTTCCGTCAGTGTCTCCCAAGAGACCCTGGGTTTCATGCTTGTAAACTCAGAGGCTTTTGGATCCTGAGAAAGTTTGCTTTCAAATCATCTCTTCCCACAGTGTGTTGAGGGATTAATATTTTTTATCAGGCTTCTGCTGCTATAGTGTGCATGCATGCAGTTAAATGCTGTGTGTGTGTTAAGTGTGTGTTTTTATGGCATTAATTAAGATGACTAACTTGTGCCCTGACCCTCTTGTTGCAGACAATTTGTCAGAAGACGCCTAAAGACTCTGCGCAGTATGAAGAGTGTAAGAAGGCGTTACAAGGAGTCAGCAAGGTCAGTGGGTTTAAGGATACACCGGAAGTGTTTGGTGTTTTTACTGTTTAACAAATTGTCGCCTTCACTCTGAGCTGTTAATGGATTGTAATTAAATTGCACTTCTCCATCTTATTGACCACTCAAAGCACTTTTCAGTACAAGTAGCATTCATCTATTCTCACACACATTCATACAGCGCTTCAAAACACAGTGCTTTTTCTATCACACTCCATTCCTGCACAGTTGGCAAAGCTGTCAGGGGGTTCAGTATCCTGAGTATCTTGCCCAAGGGCACTCTTTGACTTCAGGTGCCAGGGATTGAACCCCCGAACTTCTGGTCTACATTATATATCTTGCGGTAGCCTTATGAAACTAGCATTAGGCTGGGGGGAAGTCACTTTCTATCTATTATTTTTGCAAAAAACAAATAAAAAAAAAACATTTTCCAGCCTCTCTTGTACTTTATCATTTTTAGCACATCTGTCATTATTATTATTATTAACAGATGTGTGTGTCTGTTTGTGAGCAGGTGGTGAGAAAGTGTAATGAAGGAGCTCGCACAATGGAAAGAACAGAAATGATGTACACCATCAACTCTCAGCTGGATTTCAAGATTAAGGTATGGACATAAAATTAATTTGAATTCGGGACATTTATTTTGAAAACACATATTACTGGATAACAACTGACATGAACAACCTCAAATTCAAAGCTTTCCATTTTAGGAATTATGTTGATTTCTTTTCTTGCAGTTTTATCCAATAAGAATATTTCCTAAAAAAGTCAAATAGACTTTAAGTATGTAAAAAAGAAACCATATGCAGTCATACACACATGCAGATTAAATAATACAAAGAGGACACGCCACTGTCACACACTTGGCGAGGTTCTATACGCACAATGCACACAAGGCTTGGCAGGCTCCTGTGTGTCTAAGTAGTGTGGGAAGTAGCTGTTGGCACATTTGGGATTCACAGATGTCTCGTGAACATATTCACGGTCTGCATACTCAGCTGTTCACACATGGTCACACAAACCTATTTGACGCCACTGATATTTATTTGTCATTTCTTTGTCCCTCACATTTTCTTTCCTCTCCTCCTCCAGCCGTTCCCCCTGGTCTCATCCTCCAGGTGGATGGTGAAGAGAGGAGAGCTGACGGCCTTCGTCGAGGACAACGGCATCTTCCTCAAGCGGACGCAGCGGCAGCAGGTCTATTTCTTCCTCTTCAACGACGTCCTCATTGTCACCAGGAAGAAGAGGTGAGCCAGAGGGAAGCGTTGGGGACAGCACAGGGAGACTGTGTTTGACTCTGTGGTGAGAGAGGGGGCGTTGGCTTCACTCATAACTCACATGTTCCAGCATGTTGAGGGTGAAAGTGGAACCGTAAGCTCTTGGTTTTCACTGTGTGTGTGAGCGGAGGGTGTGTGCGAAATTGAGAACTGATTTAAGAAAAAAAAACCAATGAGGTCAACAGCACAAATACACAAAACAGTTGTGTCTCTGCTGCAGTGTGAAGTCATCATCAGCAGGGTCGTGTACGAGGGATTGGCACCTGCAGATTCATTATATAATCACACCGTTTTCCCACGCTGCCCCCCCCTTCTAATAGGTGTGTGTTTTCAGTGGAACAGGTGCAGTTACCTGAACCTGCTGCAACACGGCTTCATGAATCTGAGCTTGTTTTCTTATTGAATGTTGTCGAGGTCTCAACATGTCCTGGTGTCGAGATTCACGTCGAGCTGGTCGAGCCTGTAAATCACCTGCCCACCCCCCTCCTCCGTTTCTTATAGACTTGCCACCATGAAGAGTACTTCCATGAAATGATGTGGTTTTCATTTGCGTGCACAACTGCACAAATGTATTTGTGCCAAGAAAATCCTTTCCCGTTCCGTCTCCCTCTGCGTCTGGAACTGATTGCCCCTAAGAATCATAAAAAAAAGAAATGAAGCATTCCATATGAAATTTTTCACGGAATCTGATCCAGGAAGGCGGACTCCAGCAGTGTGTGGTGTCAGACCTGTGTTTGGAAGAGGGATTTGGGAAAGGGAGTTCTCCAGTTTGTGTGTGTGTGTGTGTGTGTACAGGTTTGAATGGGAGAAGCTGTTATAATATTGGTTTGTACTGTGGGTAGCACTGCAGCCCTGCTGTGGCACGCTACTCTACTGCACTCCCTCTGCAGCAATCCAAACAAGAACAGAGCAGGGGTACACCAGGTCAGCCAGGCACCACCAGGTCACAAACCCTTCCAGACATAATGGTGTAATAGCTCCTTCCCGTGCCATTACAACCTGGAGAGTGTGTGTGTGTGTGTGTGTCAAAAGCTGCTTACTACACTTTGTTGCCGAATGCTGTCGTGTTATGTGCTTCAATAATTTAGCTCACATTGCTTAGGAAACCATGAAAACCAGGAGGACAGAGTGAAAAGGGAAACAGCACTTACACACGGAGAAAACTCAACTATGACCTCAGAATGTTTGAGACTTATATTTCTTAATGTCTGTGTCAGTAATTCAATAGCAATCAACTGATTTTCAGAGCTCTGTCAAGTCTGTGTTGGTTCAGCTTTGAACTATTTGACGTCAGACAATTAAGAGGGATAATTAGTTTTAAAAACTTTGATACCACTTTGTTAATCAATTAAACAGAGAAATCATTTTTAAGCTCAAATGACAAACAAAGTTCCAGTTTCTCCAAACTGAGGATTTGATGTTATTACCTCCCCCACACATTTTGATATTCAACTGGAATTCGGTAGAGCGCATACCTCCACCAAGGCCCATAGATCATAGATATCAGTCTCTTAGATGTGCCTAACTTTTCCAGATAAAGATCCATGACTGCTCTGGGAAATCTTTGAAGAAGTCAAAAATGCCTGATTTCGTAATGTTAAAGAAAATGATTTTAAAAAAAAATCCTGGGTCCACCCTCTGATCAGGATCTGCACCAAAATCTGATGTGTCCTATTCTGACCAAAACATAACCTCTGTCCTTGTTGGAGATAACTGAAAAACTAATTTTGTCTGTTTACGTGTTTTGTTCCTTCCCCTCTGCTTATTGCAGAAAGGAGCTGAGATGAAATGTAAGAGAGATTTATTTGACTTCACGCTGAACAGATCTGTGTATTTTATCAGCCTCAAACTGGATCCTAGAAGAAAGTGTTAGAAAGCTCCTTGGCATCAGATGGGGCCGTGTCACGCAGCGGGTGAGAGTGTTGATCCGCTGCACTCTGGCTTACAGGAACACTTACATAACACTGAGTCCACACCAGCTGGCTCCTCTCTCATCCATACTTCCCCCCTTTTTCCTGTGTGATGCTCGCCCTCATCTAAACACTCAGTATTGTTAAAGTTGAGGTTTCCAAGTCTCACTTTGTTTTTTTCCCCCTTTCTCTCTGGTAGCTGTGACCTTGTGTCGTTTCAGTCTCGACTATCTTTGTGTGTGCGTGCATGCGAGTGTATAATCCCAACAGTTTCTGCTCTGTTGTTTTCTTTCTTCCCTCCTCGCTCTGCTTGTTCGACTGTGCTGTAGTCTCAACAGTCTGCACCAGGACATCACGCTTTCACCATGTGTGGTTATGTGCACGCACTCTTGCTTGACTCGTCCCATCTCCACATCTCTGAGGATGTGTGTTCGTGGTGCTCGAGTGTTTGAGAAACGGTTCGGTGTAGCTGGCACAGTTTGTGATGGCGTGCGGCAGATGCCTGCGTTATCTCTGACAGACAAGTGATTTACATACCAGCCAGGTTCTGCGATGGCGTCTGTGTAAAGTAACTGAAGGCAAAACGTTGTTTCAGTTTTTTAACGCCTCTTTTCCACATTTCAACGTTGGATTGCTCAACTCTTCCCCACCTTCATTCCTCTATTCAGCAATCATCTCACTGCAAACCCACCCACCTACACCCAAGAGAAAACTCACAAACATGCAGACTCCATCACCGTCCCATTCCCCAGTGTCATGTAAATGGCATTCCAGGCATTTTACCCAGAGGGCTGTCAGGAGCAGAACGCTGACGCTGCTGATGTCCCTGAAGTCTATTCTAATTTTACAACCGAGGAAAATTAAGGATTCTTCGAATATGTTTCTTTGTTTTAGAAAATAATTTTAGATCACATGTCCCCTAAATGTGTTACGCCCCCAAAATAGTATCCAGGGGATGAGAGGGGTGTAACGCAAAGATGAAGAGATATTTTAAAGAAGGGAGTAAACAATGGATGTTTTACAGTTTATATTATGGGGAGCTTCCTCCGAAAATGAGCTGAAAACCAAAAGTACACAAAACGATTGTCTCACACAGGGAGGAACCAAAAATAAATCCAATGCACAAAACAGTCCAGCATGTTTTCTTGAGAAAAGTAATGCTATTTTCAGGGGTTCAAATTCAAGTATTTTTAAAATTTGGCTTGATTAACAGCTAAATCATGATTATTATATATTCAATTATTATCACCATATGATATTATTATGGATTGTTATATTTTTGTTTTTTTGTTATTTAGTTATTTTATTTGTCGTATCAATCCTCTAACTCTCAGCAAATCATCTTATTCTCCTTTACGTTTCAGTTCAATCCTCGTGTACAGATACAGTTTTATTTCAAAGTAGTAGTTTTTCTTGACTTTTCTTTTTCTTTTTTTCCTCCCTCTGCTTTTATCTGACCCATCTCTCCCTGTAATCCTCCTCCTCCTCTTAGAAGTCTACTCGGTCGTGGGCGACGGGCTTTAACTTGATCGATTGCTGAACAATGGGGGTTGAGGGGTAACAGTTAAACCTTGTTGAGAGTCCCCCAACCGTGACTGGATCCTCCAACCAGTCATGCCCCCGGGGTCCAGGGTTTGTGTGTGTGAGGGGAAAAAGTGAATCAGGGACACACGGACAGATTCACTGTTTGTTTAATCTCCACCTTCATCCTCTTTTTTTAGTGTGTGTGTGTTTGTGGGATGAGTGTGGACGCCACTGGATACACTGGCTTACAAGGAGCGAGTTCCTGTCCAGTAGCTCCTCAGCCTGAGTGCAGTTCTAGTTTCAGGTTGATAAAACACATGTGGGCGAGTTAAGCTCCTGTTCTTCAGTGCACTATGAAAACATTTTCCCCAGGTTCAGCGCTGCATTAGACGTAGCATGTCTCACAATCAGCTCCAGATGTTTGGAACGAACTGTGTGTACTGCTTAATATGGGGTCATGCTCAGGTAAAGGTGGAAAATGTGACAAAGACTCCACAGGGTCTTTAAAAGTCTAATAACTTCTCAAAAGTCAATTATCTGAGTTTTAGGCCTTAAAATCTAAAATGTGTTAAACTATTTCGCACTGGGTCCTAAATATCTTTAAGTGGGTCTTGATTATTTTGATGTTTTTGACATTTTACCCAACATCCATTGTAATAAATTGCTTTACTACAACTACAAACATGCAACATTGGCAAAAACTTGCTAAAGAAACTGGAGAGAAGCTGATTTAGTCTAAGGACGTACACGGCTGAATATTTTGGCTTTTGACTGACATGGTCTCAGATATTCTTTAATTCAGGTGAATTTGATGAACCACACACTCTTTCTGTCTCTGGGGCCGAAAGGCTGAGAAAAGAAATCTCTACTGAAATTAATGATCTTAAATCTGATGTGTGAGAGGGCGGCGGCTCTAATCAGCCAATATGTATGTCATGTGTCAATTTCTCCTCAGTTCTTATTATTTCAGCAACATGATTTTGTTTTTGATTCACCAGGGTGCAAATATTTCACATATTTTTATATTATATCATTTGCTTTAAATTAGTTAACAAACTTGCCATGACAGACAGTTTCTTTTATTCTAAAGTTTATTTGACACTGGAAAAACAAGGAAATAAAAACAAAGAATGTTTTTATTAAAGCTCCACTTGGTGCCTTGGCCAGGAATGCAGACTAGGGCATGTTACACCAGTTGTGGATTGGTGCTTTCAGCGGAACACCACACAAACCATCTGGAGACAGACAAAGAAGTCGTTCCAAGAAGTCTGAATGAAAAAAAAACATTTTGATAAATGATTTTAATGTTTGTTAGAAAAGGTGAAAAGTTTTGAACCAGGTTGTGTGTATAACTTGTGTCTTCACGCTGCATTGACCGGTGGTTTCAAGTTCAAGGAGTAGTGTTTTCAAGTGAGTTCATTTCACTGTCAAATTCAATTTCCCGTAGCTTTTCTAGAGGGATAATAACCCTGAAATTGCAGACCCACTGGGCACATTCAGCTCAGCGGTCATCCAAAGCAAAACCACAAAAAAAAGAAAACAAAACACGAGGTCTGAACCGGAGCATGGATTTGTAGAATCGTCACACCCCTGCTGCGTACAGTGCACGTTTCAAACTTAAAACACTTTTGTTGGTAGTTGCATGACAGGAAACAGAATACTGAATCTCCTCAAGTAAAGATTAGAATGAAGTGAAGACCACCAAATTTCAAACTGTTTATCCTGATCAACCTTTCACTCTCTGTCTCCCTGTCAGTGAGGAGAGTTACACCGTGATCGACTACGCTCTGAGGGACCAGATCTGGGTGGGGTCCTGCCAGCCTGAGGATGTCAACCTGTCACCGGTCAGAAGCACCAGCAGCATGCTCAGCTCCCGGCAAGCCGGCGCCAATCATCTTTTCCGTCTGCGTTTCCGCAGCAACCACTCCGGGGAAAAGGTGCCGATGATCCTGGGGACGGAGTTGCTGTGAGTGCTTTTCTTTCTGACCTTTGTTCCTCTTTGATTGTGCTGATTTCCTTTCACTCATGCTCGGTTGCAGATTTACAAGATCTGGTGAATCATTTTCACGTCTGACATGACTTTTCAGGTACATATGAAATACATAGGGTTTGATATGTGTGTCTCCACTCAAGACAGTGTCTGATGGAGTATTAGGGCCATTAAAAGTGAAACAAAAGGAAGAGTACAAGATCAAAGTTGTAATATTACAAGAACAAAGTGGTAATGTTAAAATTAAATAAAGTCTTAATGTCATGAGAAT